AATGAAAAGTTGCAATATGTTGAAACCGTTGTGGATGATTAACCATTTCTTTATAATTTAAGCAGATTCATTGTGACTGCTGCACCAACAGAATTGGTCATGGTCAGCTTGAAAATGCTATTTGAATGGCATAATTGAAAAACTAATTCATAGAAACAAGTAAATTGGAATTATATTGATGCAACACTAAAATAATTTCTTCCTATATAAGTAGTTGTCACTAATGAAGACATGCATTAATTTTTTTCATCTTAAACATCTTTGTGTAACAAAAACTTAATAAAACTTCTCTTGGAAACTTTAATTATTTTGCTTTTCGAGTTATAACACTATCCATTGCATTTGTAATATTTATAGTTTTATCTTGGTTTTATCAAATGTTGCATGACTAGTTGGTAGAAATTAAAATTCAATTTGAAATTACCTCATTCAAATATTGAATAGTTTTAATAATTTTCTCTTACTTCAAGAAATTGGTTTTGCAATTATTTTCATTAATACGGTATTTTATTCTGAGTGAAGTTTTGATAAGAGTACGGTTTGGATTAGCATCAAATATAGCAAAAGCTTCTGTTTCTGGTATACACAATAACGAAGGAACTGAATGTCACTAGATTGTAAGGTAGCTCTGCAGAAAGGACTCCTTGTAATAAAATAACTGCTTTTCAGTTTGGTTGAAAACAACTTTTAGCTCTTCAGCATAAGAAGCAGATTTTAATTTTGAAACTTTATTGCAAATTTCCTTTTAAAGCTTTTAGCAAAATTCATGTGAAAACTGTCTTTTTGTAACAAGTTGTTTTTTTTTTCTTTACTTGATTAAATTTGGAATGAACCATCTTTATAACTGACTATATTACTTTAATTTTTTAGTTTTCATTTTTATGGTTACGTTTTTGTCATTAAAAGCAGAAAAATAAAGAAACTTGAGTTGTATATATTGGACTATTAATTTGGAATGCTAAACCTTATTAAATATTACTTGCTATAGTGCAATTTTATTTTTCTATGTTGATAACATCGATATTTTCAAACTAAAAAAATACTTATTTTTATTGAAATAAAATATTTAGTGCTGTTCCTTTCTCTTCACTCTCTGAACATTTGCTTTAAAACTGTCAATCTAATGTATTTGGTGTTTCGCTGTATGTAAGGTTGTATGTAAATATAAAAAGTATATTAATGTCTTTGGTCCTGAGATTTGCATGTGGTTTGAGACTCTGTTTTTATTTTGTTTGTGTATTTTCATTATATATAATTTAGCTACAAATTTCTCTGCATGTTACTTTCAGGTACCAATATTCTTGTTGGTTGCAGTTGTGTGTGTGTGTGTGTGCGTGAGATGTTTGTTCACTTATTTCCTGTGACTTTTGCTTTTGTTATAAAAATGTTTCTTATTACTTTTTTATTCTCAATGTTTGCTGTTTTGCTTTTGACCTTGTGAAAGGTTTGCAATTATTTATTTGCAAATTTGACTGTTTTTGTTAAATGTCTGCATTTTCCTAAAAATTTCACTTCCCTTTCTTTTCTGCTTTCTTTCATTCATTGCTAATTTTCCTCTTGCCATTTTTGTCATTTACTTGTTTTTGTCTTATGTTTGTTTACTTTCTACTTTTTTCTTTCTTATTTTACTGACTGAGAAATGATTCCATAAATATTGTATGATGGGATGCTGAAAATTTCTCACCTAACTCGCATCCCCAAAATCAATATTCTGAGATTTAGTCCTTAAATACTGATTATTTTTTTTATTTTTTTGAAGGTTGATGGGGGGGATACTGGTGATGAGTGGGTACAGCTTGTATGTTGCTTGGTGCTTTTCTCTTTCCTCCTCTTGATCTCTCACAACAATTTCATTAAGTTTGTATTTCTTTAAATCAATTCTATTATTTTATCTTTTTGTAAACAATGAAAAATATTCAGATATTTGAAGAGAGAAAAAACTCTGAAATTGGACAGCGGATACTTAGAAATATATTGTCTGCTGGCAACAGATCTGTTAGTACACACAAATATGTACTTTAAATATTGTATCTTTTCTTCATTTAGTTTGTAGATTTCATTTTTGAAATGAAAAAAAAAAATATTCTCTGAATATAAATTATTACAATTTTTTTTTTTTTTTTTTTTTTTGAAAAATGTTTTGTAGCTATACAAACTACTTTTGTCTAATCATTATGAAAAAAGCAGTGATGGAATTAAACTTGAAATTTATGAAGGTAACCATTACATTATGAGTGCATTATAGAAATTAACTTAGTCATATGCTAGACATTTAATTTAAAATCTAGTAATTTGGATAGTGTAGTGGAATTAGTGAGCTGAGCCCAAATTCAGAATTTGTTGAATTCACTTTTGCACTGATACTTTTGACAGTCATGAATCTTTCTCCTCAGCTATGGGTTAAATATCAAGTGAGATTGGGCTTGAGCTTCAGTTGGCAACCAGCCTAAGAGATGGAAAATTGAATTCTAAAGTGGGATGAAGACAACAGGAAATGACTCTGCTGTCTTTCCCAAGAATGCACAACAGTTCAGATAATAAAGAAAAGGAATATGAAGAATGATTATGACATTTAAAAAAAAAAAAAAATTAAAAATAGTAATTTGAAAATGCTGGTAAAGTTAATAAGCAATTAGAATTTAATATTGTGCAAGCAGATAATTATGGAAAAATCACTCCTGAAAATAGTTTTAATACAAATTGTAAAAGTTTCTCTTGTTGATGTCTTAATCAGTTTGAAAATTTTCATTTTAAGATGGTTTTTCAGAAATGGTTACATATGTAAAGAAAATTCCTTCTCAGTTAATTATCCTATCTATTTTAGTTAAGAAACTGTAATAGTTATATTGATAGTTGTTAAAATATCATTTTCATGAGGTTATATATAAAACCAATATTTTAGGTTATACTCTACATTTTGTGGGGTTGGAGGTAATAAAAGGATCTGAAATATGTTTTTTGTAAGTTCTCTGGATTATTAAAAGCAGTGTGCATGCTGACATTGTGTAATAGGTTCTATAAGAGGTTGAAAGATAAATGGTTCAGATATCAACTAATCATAATACTTAAAGGAAACTTAAATCGAAGGTTAAGGTGTATTATGGCACTATCATGCAAATTCAGTTATAGTGTCTAGCATTATTCTAAATTTTGATTTACGAAAAATCATTTAAAAATAAGTGAAGTAGAAATTATTTTAGTTGTAATTAGCACTTATTTAGTTGTAAACAGTTGTAGATTTTGTTTATAGAATATGTATTTGAAATTTGCTGAATAGGTAATTGAAGTTGTTTTTGCTGCTGGAACACTACTGAGGAAGGACAGAATGAACAGCAAACAAATGACAAAGCGAAAAATGACCTTCCCATGGCACAGTGCAAATGAAGGTTGAACGTAACCAGGACATAGAAAGCGACACTGAACAAAAAGAAAATCGGAATCATGATGTTTTGTATGACTCATGACTGACTAAACAGAAAATCTGTCTGTTTATATTGAGCCCAGAAACACCGGTAACCTCACTATGCAGGGCATGAATCATTTGCATAAACAAATTCTAGGAACCACTGAACCCACTGCTGCAATACACAACAAATTGAGTGTTGCCTTTCACTTCCACTACAGTAATATTCAGATTGATGTATTCCAAAGGTTATATCTAAATTGAAAGTTTCAAATCTTTTCAAATTACTCTTTGATGGGGAACTCTGGTTAATCCATTGCAATTTTGCTGTTGGGCAATTGCTTGTATGCTGTCTTTGTAACCCTAGCCAATATTGGCACAGGGTCTTGTCTTGTGAACATTGATTGACCAGTGAACTTTCTATTAATGACTTGTGAGATCAGTATACTAACAATCTATATAACATGTACTTAAGATTAATTTAAACTAGCAGTAGAGCCCAGTGTTGCCCGGGGATGTAACAGTAAGAGATAGATCAAGTATCGACCATCATAAAGACTGAAAAAAAATTGACAAAGATTATTGTTTAAGGTTGACATGCATGTCATGTTTTTTTTTTTTTTTTTTTTTTTTTTTTCTGAATTGGTAAAACTCAAAAAAAAACATTGTTTTCACTAGTTATGAGTCTACCGATTGAATAGAATTTTATTATAAACAATTGTCTTGTAAATAGAATTTTTAAAGCATTCTGAATGTAAAAATAAAGAAAAAAGTGTGCAAGACAATAAGAAACACTACCGGCAAAAAAAAAAAAGTGAAGTTTTGTTGAAATTGGTTGAAAAATGTAGGAAATCTGATCCCATATATAAACACACACACACACAGGGTTTTATAAGTATAACTCGATATGAGTTGTCCCCCTTTCATTCTGCGAAAGCAATGCCTCTTAATCATGTTTTCAAATTGATTTCGTGCAAAAACAATTGTTTTTCCAATTTTTGGTGCTGTCAGAACCACCGCAAGGTAATTTTATATAGTCCTGTGAAGTTTTGTTGAAATCGGTTGAAAAATGTAGGAAATCCGATCCAATATATAAACGTGTACACACACACAACCTGGGTTTTATAATAAGTATGATTAGTATGGTACATGGCCAAATAGAAAGATTGCATTATACTATTTTACCATCTTCTATATGCCCAGAAAATCAGTATTTGAAAAATTCACGTCGACTCCAATGACCTCTGGTATTAGTGGCAAATACTTAATTATTTCCGTCATTTTAAGCAAATGTTCTCTCACTGTCTCTGTACAAAGCCTAAATACAGTTTCTTTTGGATTGTTTGAATAAGAAAGATTCAATCGAATAAAAGATTCTTGCAAGAGTGATAATTGAATAAGTTTCATTAGGAGGAGATAAATTATTGTTCTCAGTAACATTTTGTTCTCGTGGAAATAGCAAAGAACATTATAAAATGCTTTGTAAGAATATTTTTTGAATAGCTGGTTTTGCTGGATTCAGAATCATTTTTATTTGCTGCTACTTTGATTAGTAATAATTATTTACTCCAAACTAATTATTTTTTTTTCTCTTCAGGTGATCAATGCTGCTCGGGTGTTAGCTGCCCGTCCAAGATCCAAAGTGGCCCAAGAGAACATGGATACTTTCAAAGCAGCCTGGGTGAAACAAGTTCAGCTACTCACAGAAGCTGTTGATGATATTACCACTATTGATGATTTCTTGGCTGTGTCAGGTGAGCTTGATTATTGATTAATATTACTTCAAAGGAATTAACAAGATGTAACCAAGTATATAGTTAAATGTTCAGATTTATTAAATGATGAGTGTTTGTTGTTGTTTTTTTTTTTTTTTTTTTTTTATAGAAACTCTCATTTTTTGCCATTTTTAAATGTTGAGTTTTTTAAAATAAAGTTGATAGGTACTACATCAACATATCCATTGATATGTTAATAGCTTACAGAAATAGCTGGTCATCTAATCAGTCTTTCTTTTTTTTTTTTTTTTTTTTTTTTTATTGGAAGTCTACTTGTCAGTATTTCTCAGACAAGTTTTTTTATGCAAGTTTGTAAGTCATTTTTTTTTTATCTTGCAATCTCAATAGAGATTGTTATAACATGAAATTTCTTTTCCAAGTTTAATTTAAACATTAGCCTAGTTGAAAACAGCATATTTATTTAGACATACTTTTTGCATTTTTCCTGAATTTATGATCACCTATTAGCATTTGTGCTGATGAATAGTTGAAATTGATTCTTGAGATTGAAGTCATTCTATCAGGTTTTATTTCTTAGTTTTTTAACTGTAGAATGTTTGTATTCTTGTTACAAATTGATTTGTTACCTGCTCTTAGACAGGTAGTTGTTTGTCCTTGGTTTTGTTAGGACCCAGTCAGGTAAATGCACTTTTCTACCAAAATGATTGTTAATCAGGTGTTACTTATGTTTAAAGTTTGTTACAAGGTGAAATGAATGAACTTGGGAATTCATAATTTTGTCAGTGACAAAGCTATAGCAGTAAAACGAAGAGAAAGAAGATTGGAGATCTTAAGACACTTGAATTTTCTATTCTTCTTTTCTGCCAATGATGTGAAAGATATTCAGTAAATTTTATTATCTGTGGTTGGTGTTAGAAGTTTTTCAATTTCCAACAGAAAATAGACAGTGGGAAGACATTTGATGAGCTATGTCATTGAACAGCACTGGTGCTAATGACCTTCATTCATTTTTATTATTGCTATAAAAACAGACACGTTAAAATATATTATAAAACTATATATAATGACAAATGTAAAACACAAAAAAAAATTTTAAAAATTGTGCATTGATGGTAGCGTATCCCGAAGAGGCTTTGCAGAGTAAGGATTGAAACTGGTTAGCTTTTTTTTTTTTTTTTTTTTTTCGTTTTCGTTTATTGTTAAAATTTTTTCACTTCATTTCTTTGTGGTAACTTTATACTTGCTCTTGCCCACTTGTTTGGTCGGGGGTTTATTTTATTTTTGTATTATTGTATATTGTTTTATACATATTTTAAAATGTTCACGTTTATAGCAATACTATTTTGTACCTCTTACAAATTGTTTATTTTTTTTTTTTTCTCGGGCAAGAAGGAACATTGAAACTATCAGTATGCTGCTATGTTTAGAAAAATGTCTGACAAGTGCAATTTTTGGGATCAGCTATTTGAATATCTAAGATTTACCGGTTGTAAGAGTGAGGAATGAAAAAGAATCTGCAACAATTTTCAATAAGTGAATACTGATGTCAGAAGATCTTTGAAATATTCACGACAATTGAATTGGTTACACTTTTTTAAGGATATTCAAAATACAGGGAATGAATTTGTTCTACTGATAGATTACCAGAAAAATGTGAATGCTATTACTGTAGGTGCCAACCATCTCCATGAATACTGTTTTAAAAATAAGGAATTTTTTAGATACACACATACTATATACAGACTTATCAAAAGTGTTGACAGGATGAAAGAAAGCAATCTAGTAGAGTTGGGGAGATGATGGTTGGGGGTTATATACAGTTGGTATGTCATAATCACTGTCTGTGTATATTGAATTGTTTGTGAATTATGTGATTGAAGGCAGACAGGTGTTTTGTGTTCATTGATCAATTTTAGGAAATTTAAGTATTGGATGATTTTTTATTTTTTTTTACAATTATGTTCATCGTGTAAAAGGTCTAATAGTTACTTATGGTAGTGTGTTACAGAGTAAGAGGCACCACCCCAAGCAAGGTGATAATGCCATCAAGAATGAAAGAAAAGGAAAAGACTTTAGATGGAACTGGAAACCCAATCTGTTTCTGTTCAAAAGATTGGGGAGGAGTGTGAACACTGAATAGTTATTACAGTTATGTGTTGAGCAACAGTTTTGACATAAATTATTAGCAATATTTGACGGGGTATTCATCATATGGTAAAAGTTATTCATGTGTGAATATAGATGAGTGCCATTGAGCCAATTATCTCTCATGGCAATATTTCAGTTTAGGATTAAATAGCTTTAATGATTATTATTTTTGTAGTGGGGACAGGTGGTACATTTTAGATTGATATTTATCATGACAGGTAAAGATGGAGCAAGGATATATTTAACTTGAGTAAAAATGTTCTTTCAAGAATTTTTGCAAATGCCATGTTAACAAGTTTTTTTTTTTCCCCAATTTAAAGAAGCACTTTAAAAGTAACGAAAATTTCAAGATCTGAAAGACAAAGAAAAATATAATTTTCAGTAGATTGCCTTATCTATCATGCTCATTTATGAAATTTAAAGAAAAAATGACCTTTTGTAGGATACTTTTAAATCTGATATTTTATAAATATGGTATTCATATGTAATTTTTAACCCTGAATTCATCTGATAATCTTTTAATATTTTCTACTCTTTTTTTAATATTATTTAAAAAAAATAATTTTTTTTTCCTTTTACAGAAAATCATATCTTAGAAGATGTGAACAAATGTGTAATTGCTCTGCAGGAGAAAGATGCTGACACCCTGGATCGAACTGCTGGTGCCATTAGAGGAAGAGCTTCAAGAGTCTCAAATGTTGTTGGAGCTGAAATGGATAATTATGAACCTGGTGCTTATGTAGACCGGGTTATGAATTCTGTGGAAATGTTACGGGATCAAGGTCTGTATTAAATTGATGCAAATATGTTTACTGCTTTTATTTAAGGATGATTCAAACTTTGAAAACTTAATCCATTCTTTATTATCAACCCCACCTCTCACTCTGGTAATGAGCTCTCTATTAATTAGCATTGGTTAATTTGGTTGGAAACCAGTTTAATAACTGATTTTATTCAATGTTCTAGGATAGAATAGAAATAGAGAATGAAGAAAAGTGATGCATTTAGGCTTACTGTTTGTCATCGTGAATCAAAATCTATTTTTTGGAGAGTTTTTATCTTTCTGAATCCTTTTATCTAGAGAAGTGTTTTTTTTCTTTCTTTAATACTATACAGTTTAGTATAACATTGCATGTTATAATATTTAAAAAGCAAAAACATTTGATTAAAAACATTGAACTAGACATTAAATTTTAATCTGAAAATTTACTTGACTGACTGAAATTTTATTTTAGATTAAGATATTCTGACTCTTAGTTTATAAATTACCTGAATAAAATAAAATCCTGAAAACAAAGTTGCTTATGTATAATTGTTCATAAATTTGATCATATATTTCTATTTAGATTTTCTTCATCAAAACTTTTAATTGCATGTTCTCCAGTATTCGGTAGAGTGAATATTTTGATAAAGCCACTTGAGTGTCAAGTTCTGGTACTAAACTGGGTTAATGTTTCATTTTAAATAAAAACAAAAAAAACATTACTATTATTATTATAAAAATAGTATAAGTAGACAATGTTGGCAATTTACAGCTTCTCAAAATCCAAAGAGCTATTTTGTTTTTCTTTTACAAATAAAGTACAAAATCTAACAAGTGCCTTCTTTATACACTGGTGTCTCTTTATGAAAAAAATTTTGAAATTGAGCTGAAGGTTCTTTTTTTTTGAATAGAAAAATATATCTACTTCTCTAGAACAATCCTCCATTCATCACAACTATTTATTCTTAGGCATTCATAAGTCTAAGAAATTCACTTATTCTAATAAATAATTAGCCAATAACAAAAGTTCTTTGTTGGTTTTGTTTGTTTTTCAGGTTTTGTCAACATGTCACTCATTTTTGATAGCCAGGTAAAAGAGAGGCAATTTTGTTATACTGTTAAAGCTACTACATGCTATCAGAGTTTTACTTCTGTGCAAATGCCTATAGTTTCCACTGATGATATTTGCTCATTCACTTAGCTGGATGTTTTTACTTTTATTTTTGTGGAACTACAATACTTAGTTTTGATGATATGAAAAATGTCACTCAGTGTGCAAGAGGAAGGGAAACAACTTTAAATGGAACAAGTCTACTACTCCCTACCTGGAACTTGTCCCAGCTCATATCTGGAGTTGTTCCCATATCCCCTTGAACCTCATGCATGGTGTTCACCAATCATTTCACAACTTGAAATCCTAAAAATATAATTTTGTACCAAGCAACTTAGTTTTTGTGTTTGAAAATGTATATATAAAAATGAAGAATGTTATTCAAATCCACTGATTAACACCTAACTTTTTTTTTTTTTTTTTGTAGTTGTAATAAGCAAAATTCTTTCATTTTCAGTTATGCCGAACTTTGCACAGAAGGTTGAAGTTGCTGTTACTCTATTGAATTCAGACTCTAAAGAAATTGATGAAAATGAATTTATTGATGCTAGCCGACTTGTTTATGATGGTGTACGTGAGATAAGACAATCGGTTCTCCTTAGCAGGGTAATTTTTCACTCTTGTATTAATTTCTCATTGTTAAATACTTCCAAAATTAATAGATTTGGTTATAATACAGTATAGTTGAATTAGTTTCAAGCAAATAGTAGAAAAAAAACATGCAGAAACTAACTCTATTAAATAAAACAGTACATAAGTCTTTTTATATTAAGTAAATGCTTATCCTTGTAAGGTTAGAAATTCTTTTTTTTTTTTTTTTTTTTTTTTTGTTTAGGATTCAGATTGAAATATAAATTAGGAAGTGAAAGAACATTTAATATGAAATTTTACTAAATGACTATCTGAAAATTCATCACTAAAATATTACAAAATTTCAAATGCAACCTTATATAAACAAACATTTAATGTCTCTGTGCACTGATTGTTAATACTAGAAATATCTAATTAAATAAAACCTTAGTTATGATTAAAACTCATGTAAATAAAAGATCACAGAAAATTTAAAGTGTCATGCTTATTATATAAATGTGTATGGCTTTGTGGTATTTAGGAAGACTCTATGAATGTTTTGTTTGTATAAGTTTCTGTAATTTTATAAGTTCTCTTTCCATGAGTGACATAAAAATGTTTTTTTCTCTGCTCTTTTGTTTTAATTTGTACCTCAAACTAATTTTTCCCCAGTCTCCTGAAGAAATTGATTCCGATACAGAAATAGAGTACGATGAAGACACAAAAAGCAAATGTGAGTATATGATTTTTTTTTTTTTTAAGTGTGTGCATTATATACATTTACTTTTATTACATTCTAATGTAGGAAGAGAACATTAATGTTCAGGGTGTATAGCTGTGTGAAAAATAATTACTCTCTTGCTAGTTGATATTTTGTACATATAGGTAAATATTTTTCATAAATTGAAATGGAAAAGTTTACTTTTTAGAAAATTTACTTATTTACCAAATTTAAAATCAAGAAAATGATATTTAAACAGAAAGGATTGTCATTGAGATATAGAATGTTAGAATACTGCACCAATGCATGAAGTTAGACAATGAGAAATAAGATGGAAAGACAATGGGAATTTTATAAATCATATACTCAAGTGTAGAGGAAGAGAATTTTGATTTGATAAAGACCTGAAAAAGTGCCTTTTTAGGGAATTTGTAACTGTCAGAAAGTATTTTTGTTGAAACTGAAAAGGAAGCTGTTCAGTATGATGGTCATAATATTAATCCTATCAGAAAGGATCAAAGAAAAAAAATAAGTTTTTAGACACAAGAAAATGTCAAATCTGAAAGCATATCATCATAATGCAAAAATAAGAGGGAAATAGTGAAATGATCAGTAAATAAGAACTTGGATTCTACAGGGCATATAGTGACAGTTTACCCAGTGAATGGTTAAGTACTAAAATAATTGAAGAACATCCAAGCTGTTTGTAGACTTGGAAAATCCTGAGAGGAGATACCAAGAATCATGTAGCCTGATTGACCATCAATAAATGGTTTGGAAATGCAGTGTTGCACTCAAACATCCCAGCAGTGGCTATGGGAGTGATTAAAACCCAGTTATATGGAAACATTGTCATTAGATTCTGCAAATTAAAGAAGCAAGTGAAAATGAGAAAAAGTGAAATGGGTAAATGAGAAATTAACAGGATATATAAAATCTAAGGATGGAATGATCATAATGGAAAAAGTAATTGAAACAATGGAATGGATACATAACAGAATAGTGGAACCTCCAGTATATAAAAGCACAGAAGAATCTGTAATTTAAGTTAAGGACAGCACTGAATAAGACTGAAGAACAAAGCAAGCAGGCCCAGGTGAAAAAGAGATGCTGACAACCTTAGTTGATTTTGGTAGTGATAATGTAACTGAAGTGGTAAATGAAATATCACTGAAAATATACTAGATCTAAGATCAGTTTTTGAAATGTCAAAAAAAAAAAAAAACAGATGCAAATACTGAACACCATGGAACACTCGGTTTTGAGCCATATAACAAAACTAATAATCAGGATTTGAACAAATGGTGCTCTCAGAGTTTTGTGATGTCAACAAACACTCATTGCCACTTTTATAATGTCAATAAATACTTGTCATTTTTGTATGCTCGTTATAGTAGAAACTTTGTAATCACGGATACAACTATAGTAACGCTGTTGAATAATACTTGTGTCAGATGCCTTAAAATAACACTCACACTAATAGTACTTGCTTGATAATACTCCCTCGCATAGTAATCCATATGGTGATCAGACTAGCGAAATAGTATAGAGAATAGGGATCTGTATAGTAATAGAAGATAATGTAGAAATAGTGATCTGTATAGTAATAGAGGATAGAATAGAAATGGTGATCTGTGTTCAAACTCCAGTTTCGACAGCAACACTTTATTCCTATATAACACCTCGCCTTCGAGATGACTTCCTCTGCAGTCTATAATTCTTCAGCTTCAGTTTAATAGTTAGAAATTCTGTTGGTATTCCTTTTCTTTTGTCATAAACCCTTGATTCAACATTTTCTGATGGCATGGGTATGTTAAATATGTCATACAGAATTTCCATTGGTACTTCTTTTCAGGAACTTAATAAATCAGTGAATCTCTTATACAACTGATTAAGATGTTGCTCATGCTCCCACCTTTGTCCCTGTACCATGTATGTCATTTTGCCAATCCTTTTATTTTTTTCTTTTTTTTTTTTTTTTTTAAATAACATCATTTTTCCAGAATTCCTTTCCATGTTGATACATTTTAAAAAGATACATTTTAAAAAATGCCTTATCTCCAGGTTTGAAGTATTTACTTATATTGTCATTTGATGCTCTTAGCTTAGGTAATAATTTATTAAAAACGGACTTAATCATCTTGATGAACATAAACTCTGCTGGCGGCATTCTAAACATGTCCGGGTTTGGTGTTATTCTGTAAATACTCAGAAATTGCTGAATCATTACTTCACCTGACTCCTCTCCCTTAGACCTTTTTAGTACCCATTTAAACATATTGACAAACTGTTCCGCTTGTCTGTTTGATCTTGGGTGATAAGGGGGAGTTGTAATATATTCTATTGCTAATGATTTGCAAAGAAACTTAAATTCACTAGACGTGAATTGAGTCTCATTTATCTGAAATGATAGGAACACTGAACCTTGCAAAAATCTTGTGTAGGAAATTTATCATTACTGCAGTAGTCAGTCTTCTACATTTTAATATTTCTGGTCATTTAGTGTAACTATTGATTACCACTAGATAGTATGCTCTGTTTAATAATCCTGCAAAATCTATTATGTATTCTCAACCATGGTATATCAATTTTCAACCAAGGTAGAATTTTGAGAGGCAGTGACTTTGTTGCCAGAGCACAACCTCTGCACGATTTCACTAAATTTTCAATATCATGATCCATTTTTGGCCAATAAGTATAAAACCTCATTAAGGATTTAATTCTAGAAATTCCTGGATGCCTTATGTGAAATTCTTTTAGCATACATTTTTGCAATGATGCTGGTATCACAGTTCTTTCTGTGTACATAAGTGCATTATTACATAATGAAAATGCATTATTTCCAGTAATATTTTTTCCTTTAGATTTTAATTTCTCCTTTATTTTCATTATAACGTTGTCTTTTTCAACCTTAATTTTTATTTCCTTCAATGTTATGGGCAGTTCTCTTACAGTATTGCATAATACATTATTAATTTCATTTTCAGCCCTTATCACCACAATTACTGTGTCCTCAGTTGGTTTGCAGAATCTTGGAATCTGTCTGAATGATTTAATTTTTTGGATGGTAGAAATTCCATTTTGTATTTATAATTCAATAGGATAGTTCCCCAGTGCTGTAGTCTATTCGCTGTATGTGTGGGAACACCCCTTTTTTTTTTTTTTTTTTTTTTTTTTTTATCCATGTATGGACAATAATGGACGATAATGTCTGTAGTATGAATTCTCTACCATGTATGAATTTGTGAAACTTTTTCATGGTGGATATAATGGCCAATGCTTCCTTTTCTATCTGGCTGTAGCTTTTATTCAACTGCAAATAATAATCTTGAAGCATGAGCTATTGCTTTAGTTGTTCCGTCCTCATATTTGTGTAGTATCACTGCTCCAATACCCGAATCACTTGCATCTAATACAATCACAATATTTTAATTTAGAGTCCAAACGAGATAATGACAAATCTAATGTTAAGACTTTCTTGATCTCTTTGAAAGCACTTTGACATTTATCTGTCCAATTCCATTTCACATCTTTCTTTAGCAGGTTATTCAAGGGTGCACTTAATTCATGCATATTAACTATATATGTATGACAGTAGTTAGCAAACCTTAAAAATTCTTGTAATTTTGTTACATTTGTTGGAGTGGGCCTCTGTTCTTAATTGTGCTTTACTTTTTTCCTTCACTGATCTTAAAACTATATTCTTTGATTCTCTCAAATCTTTTTTTTCTTTACATCTTCCGTATGTTGCTTTCAGGTCTCACTTTTAATAAGTACATCATCCAAATATACTTGAGTACAATTCAAACCGGCAAGCATGGTATTCATTATCTGTTGGAATATGCTTAGTGCAACCCTGATACCAAAAGGAAGTCTGTTGAATTTGTATAACCCTCTATGAGTGTTAAGTTTTGACCATTCTTGGTCTACTAGTACTTGTAGGTAAGCATCTGACCGGTCCAATTTAGAAAAAAATTTATGTCCATTCAATTTGGCAAAAATTTCCTCTGGACTTGGTAATTTAACCCTATTAAAAAATCAGCATATATGCAGATTTTATTATTCTTTTTCTTAATGTAGACTGTTGATGATGCCCATTCGAAAGTCTTTTTGATATCACACTTAATTTTTCTAGTCTGTCTGATTCATTATTAATTGGATCTAAGACAACAAAAGGTACTCTTTTTTTTTTTTTTTTTTTTTTTTTTTTTGCTTAAATGTTGGTGTTACATTGTCTTTTAACTTAAACTTAGCTTTTTTCATGCATGTCCCTAGACCTGAGAAAACTTCTGGAAGACTCTTTTTCAGTTCATTTTTCAATTTTTCAGTTGCCATATTAGTACTGAGGGTAACAATATTTTGTTGCGAAAAGAGTTAATTGGAAGGCCCCAAATGCAATCTAGTCTGTTCCAAACAAATTAGCAGTATTCTTTAATACAAGCACCACCACTTTTTTGTCCCCCCTCCACAAAAGAAATGTTACAGCTGAATTCGGCCAAAAAGTTCAATCTCTTTCTTGAGACTTCATGCACAACTTTATCAGAAGTTAATAAATTGGGTTTACCCATTTTCCTCTGTAGAAGTCAAATGACTTACCAACATGGTTACCTACTTGTCTCCTAGTAAAGGCAGGGTACCTCATTTCTACCTGATTTGTAGGAGAGTACTTAATAGAGCTGGTGGGTTAGTCTACTAGAATGGACCTGTTAATCACATTTGCATGAGTGGACTCAATTCGCCAATATATCTCTCTATCAAATCACTCAGTGTAAAAAAAAAAAAAAAAAAAAAAAAAAAAAATTTAACTGGAAGTGACTACACCAGTCTACTTGTGTGTCAGACGACTTGCAAGCTAACTAATCTTTTACATGGCACTGTGAACAGGATTGGATGATTGGCAAGAGCTCCTTATCAAAATTGGCATTCCAGCTTGCTCTGCCAGAACTTATGCTGAAACTTTTGTGAAAGAAAGCATCACCAAGGATAGCCTCTCTATGATAGACTGGGAAATCCTCAAAGAGCTTAGGTGTCACAACCATGGGACATGCACTAGCCATTCTAAAACTGACATCAGACAGCCTACACAAAGGCCCCTGCAGTTAAATACCCCAGCTCCATTCAGAGATGACGACATCTCAGCAATTCCAAATGTTCAGGATTGACTGGGAGGTATTTGTATGAATGACAAACATGCCCCCCCCCCTACACAGACCAACATCCAATTATACAACTGTGCCAATGAGACCATCCGAATATCAATCATAAACGCATAGCCCAAATTTTTCTCTGAAAAACCAAATAGACTCATGGACATGTTGGAGGCATTAGTCACACAAAAATCGAATCCCATGGTTCATAGATTGTCTTTTGCCTCAATTTCTCAAGGACAAGGTGAATCGGTCAAGCAATTTGTCGTCTGCCTCAGAGGTGCAGCGCAGTATTGTGACTTCACATGTCCAATTTGGAGTCATGACCTGTCTGATATCTATATCAAAGACCAGCTGGTCAGAGGCATAGCAAATGATGCCCTCCAAGCAGATCTACTAGCAAAGGCGAGCTTGTTAAAGACTCTCAAGCAAAACATCAACCATGCTAAGGTATTTGAGGCAGCACTGTGTGACCCAGCACAAATGTCAGGGACACTCGAGATGTTGGCATTGTGCATGTCAACCTATCGCAAAAAAAAAACACAAGTCATCCTCCCTCCTTGATCTAAATGCTGCAAACATCAGATTGTAAAAAAGAACAATTTGCATTGTAGCGGATGTGGTAGCCAAAACCATGGCATCTCAGGAACCAGCACCTGCCAACAGGCATATCCCACATGGGATCAGACATGTAACTTGTGTGGCATCCAAGGTCATTTCTCAAATGTTTGCTGGTCCAAATCTAAGTCATCCTAGTGAAGTGAGAGGCCTTCAGTTCAGCATTGGAGAAATGTCAACAAAGCAAGCCTTGTATATCTGCAATAAGATTGATAAGCTGCATTTTAGCAAGGCTACCTGTATTGATGTAGGCACACTGTCTCCTCACTTACCCCACACCTATGTCAATGACAGCCCCAAGCAAAGTAAATTGTATGCCTAATGATTTTACAGTAGCTGTGTCCTCCCCAATATGGAGCAAAAACAATCCACTTTCAACTACCAATTCGCCCTGATGAACCTCCCTTCCCAGCAAATGAAGAAAATGTGGAGAACCTGAAAAAATGGTTACTAGAACAGTTTGCTAATTCAGCATTCAAGACTGATGGGCAATTCCCAGCCATGTCTGGTAAACCCGCACATATCCACCTAAAGGAGGGGACAATCCCTAAAGCTAAGCACAGACCTATACCAGTGCCATACCACTTTAAAGAACTGGTGCGGCAAGCCCTTATGTGAGACATAAAAAGTGGCATAATAAAACAAGTGTCCATTGGCACTCCTATAGATTAGTGCAGCACCATGGTGATTACAGCAAAAAAGGATGGTTGACTGAGGTGATTATCAACATCTAAGTCACAATGCAAGCAAGAAACGCACCACACTGCTTCACCTTTCCAGCTGGCAATGCAGGTGTCGCCCAATACCAAGAAAATAGTGTTGGAAGCTGTCGATGGCTACCACTCTATTCTATTAGATGAGGCGTCCCAACCACTCACAACTTTTATCATGGAATGGGGAAGGTTAATATACCTTAGGATGCCTCAAAGCTACTTGGCATCTGGTGATGCATTCACCTGTAGATACGATGAAGTTATAAAGGACATTGCCAGGAAAATCAAATTGGTTGATGATACCTTGCTCTAAGACACCAACATCAAAGAGGCATTCTGTCATACCTTTGATTTTCTAAAAAGATGCGCACAAAATGGGATTGTACTCAACAAATTCCAATTTTGTAAGGACACTGTTCAGTTTGGGACTGCAAATAACTTAATCGGGAGTATCTCCTTTTGAATCGATGCTTAAAGCTATCTTAATTTTCCCTCTTTTGTAAACCATCACTAATAAGAGATCTTGGTTTGGTCTCGTAAATCAACTTGCCTGGGCATATTCATTAAATCTCATTATGCTACCCATTTGGGACCTTGTCAAAAAAAATTCAAGATTCACCTGGAACCAGACTCTTGAGAAAACCTTTCAGAAATCATTTAGCTAGTAAGGCAGGACGTCTCAACATTTGACATCAACAGAGTTACCTGCTTAGCCCCTGACTGGAGTAAAGGTGGTATGGGATTTTTACTTCTTCAGAAGCACTGCACATGTGCAATCAAGAGAGCCCCAGTCTGTTGTCCTGAAGGCTGGCATCTTGTGTTTGCTGGAAGCAGATTTTGTACTGCTGCTGAACACATGCACCCATAGAAGGCAAAGCGGCAGCTATAAGCTGGGCACTTGAAAAGTGCTGCATGTTCATACTAAGTTGCCCAAACGTTATAGTAGTGACTGACCATGAGCCACTCAAAGGACTTTTTGGTGATCAAGATCTCGGCAAAATTCACAACCAATATTCTATATCCTCTGTGTCTGTTCATTTATGATATCTGATCCTGTATCTAGTTGCAATTTTATTTTTAAAACATTAATTTGCACAAAAACAAATTTCCTCTTTTGAGATGTCTTGTTAATTTCCCTTTTAGGCTTCTTATCGTTAACTCAAAAAACTTCTGTTGTAATTGCAATTGCTGTTCAAGTTGGTTTTTGTTGCTGCACTTATTGTTCTTGTTGTAGTCTTTGTTGCTGCAACTGTTCTTGTTGCTTTTGTAGCACCAACATTTGAATTATGATAGCTTCTAATTCTTCCATTCCATTGTACTCTGCTGAATATTTTTCAGATTAATTTTTTTTTCCTTTAGTAAATTGAGCAAATCCTCATGTAAGTTGAAGGAATCCTCATTGCCACTTTCATATGCTCGTTGTAGTAAGGACTTTGTAGTTGCAGATAGTATAGTAACGCCGTTGAACAATACTGGTTCAGATGACTTCGGATAACACTTGCACTTATAGTACTTGCTCAATAATATTCACTCAAATAGTAACCACTGAATAGTAATTCGTATAGTGATCAGAATAGAGAAATAGTATAGTGAATAGTGATCTCTATAGTAATAAAGGATAGAATAGAAATGATGATCAATTAGATGTCACACTAATTACCATATATACATTTCCTTTATCATCACATTTACTTATTAAAAATGTAATCGCCTGTGTTTGCTCTCTGATGATCTGTGTTCAAACTCCAATGCTGGCAGCAACACTTTATTCCTATATAACACAGACTGGAAACCAGAAGTTGCTGGAACAAGAAAGTTCTTAGAATGAGCTTTAGAATGAGCTTTAGGAAGGCAGAAAGATTTGTAACTTTGTTTCAGAATATGCAAAGGCATTTGATAAAGTACAAAGCAAAGAACTTCCTGAAATGTTAGGAAATCATATTAAACTTTTGTTAGGAACAAACGGTTTGTATGTAGATAGATAAGTTTAGTGGGCAGAATAATACAGAACAAAATGTGACAAGGATGAGTTTTCTCATTAGATTTTGTATAGTGACATAATTCTAAAAGGACTAGATCTACCAGGTTTTATATGCTACACTGATGACACGTTATTTGTGGTAGATTCAGAAGGAGAATGGAAAGAACTAATAGAAAAATAGTTGAAAACAAGAGGAAAGGACAAATCATTAATTGTAAGAACACTGGATGTATGGTTGTCAGCAAAAAGACACTGAAGTGTGAGTTATGTATTGGGGATATGAAAAAGAATCCAAATTTGCATTGGAATATCAAAAAATGCTTTCTGGAATCTGAGCCAAGAATTAAAGGATCAAAGAAATTCAGCACTTAATTTCTGTATTATGTCCACTCTCTTATATGGCAGGGAATTCTGGACAGTTTCATCAGAGATGAAAAGATTTGAAATGACAAAGATGTACTTTTGCCAACAAAAGCTGAGAAGAATATCATGAACAGAATGTGAGAAATGAGGAAATTTTAAAGAACAGTTTACAAAGAAATATTTGCTGGCAATAAGGAGACAACTGAAATTTTTTTTGAGGAAACAACGAGGAAACATTTTAAAAATTTAAAATTGTGGCTTATCAAAAATAAGAAGCAAAAAAAAACAACATACTTGAAAAATTTGAACAAATGCATAAACAAACAAAAAGTGGGCATGAAAGGAGTAAGTATTGCTGAGAAAACAAGACAGGATGATGTGAAATCATGACACCAACAGAGAAAGAAAGAAAGATATTTAAATACATTTGTGAAGATGTTGGCTTATTTGTTTTTTCTTACTTTTTTTTTTTTTTTTTTTTTTTATAACTGTGTGAAGTGTTTGTTACTTGATCATTTGAATTTACTTTTATTTTTTACCTTGTTTGATTGCTTCTTTCTCCAGCAAGCTTCATGACTGAACAGGAAGATGCTAACAATAAGAGTGATCGTGCTATGATGAGAGACTTGCCTGAGGCTGAACGAATCAAGATTCAAAAACAAGTTGAAGACTTCCGACAAGAGAAGGCTAAACTTGACAGAGAAGTTGCCAAATGGGATGACAGTGGCAATGATATTATCGTTCTTGCCAAGCAGATGTGCATGATTATGATGGAAATGACTGACTTCACTAGGTCAGGTTATTTTTGTACTTGTATTTCATTATTGAATATTTTAAAAAATTACTTTCAAGCATTATCAAAAATATACTTTTTTTTTTTTTTTTTTTATAAATGAAAAATGGAACACTTTTGCAAATTTAACAATTATTTATTTTTAAAATGTTGAAATAGAATTGTATAATTACAAAACATTGAATTAAGACATAAAACATTGTTTAATACTTTGACAATTCAAATGTCAAATAGCTTTTTATGTGCATATTAAGAGATTCTCTTTTGTATAAATTTTGATATTAAAATTATGCTGAAAGCACATGTATATGTGCGTGTCTGCAGTAATAGTCATAATACAGCAAAAGTTAAGTTGGCTGGGTATAGTGCAAGTTAAATATGCTGATTATAAAATGAAATATAAGAATTGTACAGATATCAGTCAGAATTAAGTCCAAAATGAGTGATCAGTAAGTTTGGAAATTCACAAAATTTTTACCGAAGCCTGGATAACTAAGATTAGTTATTGAAAATAATTTGCTCAAAATTGGAGCTAAAAATTTGGAATTATTTTTCTAAGTATCAGTTCGGTAAAAATATATATTTTATTTATTTATTTTATTTATTTATTTATTTATTTTTTATTTAAATGAGAAAAGATATTAAAATTTGCATTGATTTGTCTAAAGAAGATTGTCTGCAAGTGACACAAAATGTAGTGTCCTTTTTGGAAAAGAGTTGAAATTTATTTAATAAACAAATTAATGAATATTATTGGTCAGTTTATCTTTCCAAATTTTTAGAAAACTAATTAAGTATTCTGCAGAAATATATTGTCATAAATCTGCATATTTCATATAAATTATAGTAGACTACATGTCATTCTTAAGAATTTTAACAGATTTTCATATTAACCAGGTTACTGAAATTCCAAGAAACATGCTCTAAAGAAAAAAGAATGAATTCACAGATAAATATTTGGAAAAGAAAATTAAACATGTCAAAGTAATGATGACAAAGTTATAAAGCCAATGTAATAAGTTTTAGTTTCTCATTTAATTCTGTAAAACATTTCAGAATACTATTTAAAAGTTCATCTTTGGTAAATTTATATCTGCTAATAAAAATCTTCCCTTTTAGAAAACTTCAAGTTTTAATTTGAATTAAGCTCAGAAGAAAAAGTGGATGTCTCATCAAATGAATGTTTTTGAAACCCATTTTATTCAGATGTTTTTTTAGCTTCCTTTGCAAAATGAAATAGAATAAAATTTTTTGGCTACTATGAGGTGTATGCCAAACTAATATTTTATTTTCAATTCATCTAAAAACCTTTAATAAAGGCATAGAGAACTTGACAAAACAAAAAAAAAATGGTACTAAATTTATCTTGGTAGCTTAATTAGCAACAAATTATTAGATCAGACCAGCCTAAACATTGAGAAAAATTGCACTCTCAAAAATGAAATAGTTAAAACATGAAACAGAAGGGCAATTTTGACTGTTCATATAAGTTTAATTTCAAAAGTTAATGCCTTTCAACTTCTTGCTATTATTCCTAGAACAGATGAAGTAATTTTTTTTTTTTTTTGTGCATCAAAAAAAAAAAAAAAAAACTACTTACATCCTGTAAAAACGGCCAGAAGCACAATTTTGACAGCAGAGTAAAAACAGGTCAAATGTATAACATCTTGAACTTTCCATAAAAAAGTATCCTTTAGAGGTACATGCCTGAAACTATGAAACTTTCATAATTTTGGGAGGCGAAATTCAATAAAATTTCTAGAGATAACTAATTTTGGAAAATTTTGTGAAATTTAGCAATTTTTAACTTTTTCAAAAAAGGTCGGTAATGACTACAAAACTTAAAATTTGTTTCATGAAATGAATCATTTGATCAATTGTTCAAACAAATATTTATTATAAAGGCTTAAACTTGTTTATCTTCAAACTAAAAAATCTGAAATGAGTAAAAATAAATTTATTGGACTGATGAAAAAGGCTTTCTGGACAGTTGGAAACGGTCCTCCTGCATTTCATCTTCTAATAGTGTTTTACAGTTTGAATTTGATTATAAGCCTCTGCTATAATAAATATTCTTGGAACACTCTATATCCTATCATCATTATATTTTTTTAATGGTTTTTAGAACTATCAAAATTTTGGTTAAAAAATTGTTTTAATGGGTGACCATAAATTAATATGGGAAATTTTTGCTTCTTTTTGCAGTGAAAAAAACATCTATTTGGAAATTCTTGTAAAAATCCGATAATTATCAGATTTTAATGAAACTTTCAGGGTTTATTCACAAAGTGTTTTTCATTGCACCAGTCATTATACTTGGGATTTGACATTCTTTCTTCTCCTCTCCTAATAAAATCCTCAATTTGAGATTTCAGAATTCAAGGCATTTTATAAAACTGGCTGCTATATGCCTACATCTACACATATTGAACTGGCTTTCATCCTAAGTTCACAAATGGAAGTTGTCATTTAGCAAATAAATCTTTAAATTCTAAGTATTTTATATAGTGATAAAATATGAAGTGTCTTATGTGATATGCTGTGTGTGTATACACATGTATTTGTGTTATACACCCTATGCTATAATAGCTTATTCAATATTGCAGGGATAATCATTATCATATTTGAATGTGCTTTTAATTCCAGAGGCCGTGGACCATTAAAAAGTACAATGGATGTTATTAATGCAGCTAAGAAAATTTCTGAAGCCGGAACAAAGATGGACAAAATGGCTAAGACAATTGCAGATCAGGTGAGGAATGGTATATTTTTAAATTTACTTGTTTTTGTATTGATCTCTATTACCGTCATCGTTTTAGTATAGACACAATATATTAAGAGGACTTTGCTTTGAAATTGTTGTACAGTCTGATTCAGTTCAGCGAATGTGTCCGTAGTGTTAACTCTGAAATATACACTTGGCCTGCTATCAAAGAATGGTTATTGATTTTATTGTAAATGTGTAATTTTGTGTTAATTAAAATAAAAATATATTTTTTTCCTTATCTGAGCCTAGTGACAAAAAATAAATTTTCTAAGGTATCTAATTAGATATAGTCATGTATTCTTTCAAAAGATTCATTTTGTAAATTTTACTTTTTGTTGCTTAACTGCATAGCAAATCAAACACTTGTCATACTTTTATTATGTAACCAAAGAGGCCAAATTGAAATCCTTAATTAGATCTGGAATACAACCTGTAATTTAAACCTATTTATTGATTTTAGTTTTATTAAATCTCTTACAACTATGAATAGAAGCAAAGCAAATGGATTTCTAGCTTCAGAAGTATTTTTAAGGACTTATCTTTCTTTTAGCTTGTAAATCACTTAAGAATATTTTCAAATCTATATACAACAAACTTTAGTTAAAAATGCTTTTTGATTTTGTTTAGATTTTTCCATACTTTCAACATTTTTTGTAACCAGTTTTACTTTGTATCAAGTTCTCTGGTTATGTAGCAATCACAACTTTGTCAGAAGTTGATTCTTAACATTTGCATTGAATTGCTTTTCATGAGGTTTCTTCAGATTAAAGCATTTGATATTTTTTTTATCAAAGGGGAATAACTGCGGAATATCAATGTCAATTTTGTTTTTTGCGATATTGCTTTTGCCTTTCACATTTTTCTTAATCTCTTCCTCACAATTCATTCTTTAGATTTTGATACTGGATATTTTTATTTTAGTGTTTTTGTTTTTTTTGTTTTCATTGATCAGTTTCTTACTTTTAACTGTTTTGGTATTATATTCTCTTTGATAATGTGGTTATTTTCATTTTTTGTTTTATATGTTTTCTTTATTTCCCATTTTATTTTTAAACTTTCATTTTTATTAATAATCATTCATCTTTGTGTGTATATTTTTGGAATTGGTCATATTCTTTTATCAATTGTTTTGTTTCCTTTGCGTAATTATCACCTAATTGAAATAATTGTTTTCGTTATGCTTTTTAAAATTTTTTTTCAAATAATTTCTTACATGTTCAATCTCTGTCATCAGCTAATTTTGATATATTTATTTTACCAACAAATTTTCCTCATGTTTCTTGTCTATTCCTCTCTGTGTAATATAAGCTTAGTTATATTACATTCATTACGGTTAGTGTTTTTGTGATTCTCTCAGAAGTAAATGGGGGTGGGGGTAGTAAGAAAATGTGTAAGGTTGACCTAAGTGATTGCTACATACTTCAGATGAATCTCTTTATGTTAATCATTATTTAAAAATAACTTTATATCTATATTTTTCTGCTAACTATACCAAAAAATGATTTTAGTAATACATTCATTTCATAATATGAAATGCACAATGCATTTTGTTTTCACGCTTACCAGCATGTTTTACTTGTATTTAATATTGTTTAGAATCTGTCATTTCCTTTTCTTTTTTCAGTGTCCTGATTCAGTGTCTAAGAAAGACTTGATTGCATATCTGCAGAGGATAGCCTTATACTGCCACCAGTTGAACATTACAAGCAAAGTAAAAGCTGATGTACAAAGTGTTAGTGGAGAACTTATTGTATCAGGGGTAAGTGTTAAATCCTTTTTCTAATTCAGTGTGTGTGTGTATATATATATATATATATATATATATATATATATATATATATATATATAATGTCTGTGTGTTTTAATCAGTATCAAGGCAGTAAAGCCACTAAGACACAAGGGGTGTGGAAGAATTAGAAATAGAAACATTAATAAGTGGGAAGAGGAAAGAACAATCCATAAGACAATAGATAGCAATTGATATTGCATTTAAATTTTTGTAAATTAAAGTTGAATGTAAAGCATGGAACCAGATGGGAGTTCCACAAGCAAGAAGTGCAAGAAAAACTGTTAGCATAGAATTTATGGTTATATCTAACTAGCTCAACTGTAAATTGATGAGATCTAGACACCAGTCTAGTAATGCACTCAAAAAGTCAAGACACTGTAGTAAAGTGCTCAGCTGAACAATTACCATGAAAATATTTATAGAAAAGACACATAGAGGTAACTTTATGGCAATGGGAAAGTGACTGAAGCCAAGATTGGGACCTATAATATTGCTGATTCTTTGGATTTTATCAAGGAGCTCAAAGTAAATAGCAGGGGCACTGGACCATATGCGACAGTAATATTCTAAGCATGGGTGAATGGTAGACTTATAGATATGTAAGATAGATTCTGAAAAGAAAAATTGTTTTGCATGAAAATGGACCAATGTTCTTAGCAGCTGACCTAACAATGGATTCAATATAGTCTTTCCACTTCATATCAGCTGCAAACATTAGCTTGAGAAGGTGCAACGATTCATTTCTTGGAGGTTAGCTTCAGCCATACTGATGGAAGTCTGAGATATTATTAGGCTAAGAATAGAACAGATATTTCCCAGTGATTGTCAGAATGCAGGTTAATACAAATTAATGTGCAGAGAACAAAATGAAGAAAAGACATAATTTTTTTAAAAGGTGGATGTTTGGCACTTAACAGGTTGTGAAAGCTTATTGTCTTTTATGGATCATTTTAAAGCAAGTAGAATTAATAATATTGATTACCTTCTTTTTTGTAATTTACAGTTTGTATTCAGAGATAAATTTTCAAAAGTCTAGGAAAATTATAACTATAAATGAGTTCATAATCAATATAAAAATATATTCACTGAAATTTCAAGACTGATCAATGAAACCTTTATGGAAACTTGTCTAGGTAAAACTTTAAATGTTTTATGCAACAAAGGAAAAAATAACCTTCCTTAATTCTGTTTATAAGAAATATTTCTTTTGAACTGAATACTCAGTCTGTTAAGTGCCATATGTGATACATGCTTGGGTGATCATGTCACTTGAATCATGATGGACTAGGCAGAAGATTTTTCTGGTGTAGGTTGCCATTTCTTTCTGCAGTAGACTGGTTGCCAACCGTAACTATAGGACCCAGTCTGCCCTGGTATTCAATCCATAGCTGGGTGGGGAAAGATGGATTACTGTAAGTGGATGTAATGGACATGACTGGAATTTGAACTCTGCTCTCAAATTTCTCTTTCAAGCCATTATTTGTTACACCACACTACACATCTAAATTGTATACTAGTGAACTGAATTAGTACCAGATTTTTAACTCTTGTAACTGTAATATCTTAAATTCCCATTATTACAAGTTACGGAAAAATAATTGATCCACCCAAGAAAACTCCCACTGCCCCAAATCTGATGCTTGATCATTTGGTCAGGTTTTGGGAAATGGGGTACATCCTTAATCATTCCTAATCATGCTCAGTGACTATTAATGCAAATTGTGAAACCTGCTTTCTCAATGTGGCTTGTATAGTTTATCTTGAATTGAAATGAAAAATATCTAGTTATGGATTACATGTTGAAAGATGTCTTAATAAATTACAGAAATTAATAAATTTAAATATAGGAAACTTCTGTATTTCCCTCATTCACAATGAGTGTTGCAATATTCCAAAGTTATAAAATTAAAATAACATTAGCAATTCATTTTTTAAACTTTTGGCTATTTTTATCAATCTTGTGGGTGTAAACAAATCTTTCATACAGCTTCTCTAAAAATCTACAAAAGGACAAACTCCTTTTGGTCTACATATTTTATTTTTTAATAAAGAAAAATCTTAGTCCTGCTTAAGCCATGAAAGTGGTGATGTACTTGTATGTCATTATCATCTTGTATATATATATATATATATATATATATATATATATACACACACACACACACTGTGCCTAGTGTTGTAAGAATCTCTCTAGCTTGGCAAAAATGCAACAACTTGATGCAGCATTGATTCCATGAGTGATTAGAAGTTTTCTGTAGAGATATTGAGCCACACCCTCTCAATAGCTGTCAACAGTTCTCTGATATTTATAAGTTCAAAATCTTATTTCATGCCAAAAAAATTCACCACCACATCCCATAAATGTGTCGTTAGGATCCTGTCTGAATGTGATGACAACACCAATTATCATATATCATAAAGCTACTCAAGTCCAATTAATGCCATGTAGACATAACCTGCACCATTATGGAACAGCCATTAGTGCAAATGGTGGAACAAATGAATGTGTTTACACTTCCATGGAAATAGCAATAGAGCAGCAAGAGGCTTGTGAAATTTCATCTGTGGGAAAAGGTGTTGTAGGCTGGAAAATATTTCATCACCCACAAAGATGCGGAGATACTTTGGACTCTATTGAAACTGGAAAGTGAAGACTGTGCAGCTCTTGCTGCTTTATGGCAGCAACACTCCATTTTTAGTCTGTAGCTCTTGTAAAGCTAGAATTGGAGAAATTAGGTACTTACTGGAGCAGTATCTTTAGTGATAGGTTGTATGTACGAGTCCCATGTGAGTCCCAATAGGTGTTCAAGGTATGGGCTTCTCTGAAAGAACACCTGTTCATTATGATAGGTGAAAATTTAGGGTCCACTTGGTGATGATTGAACGTCACTTGTTTGCTTTTCAAGGCATTGAATGTGACCAGCCAGTATTTCTCCAACTGAGCTGCTAAGGATAGGTCAGACAAGAAATCGGCTGCCAAGATCTGGTCATCTAGAGTTTTGGAGGTGCTTGTACAGTAACACTCTATAGCGTAAAAGTTGTCATGGAAAGTGGAACCTGTGTCCTAACTTCCAAGTCTATTAGGTGCACTTAGTCATGCCTTTTCCAAGGGAATTAGTGCTATCTTCCTCCTACTTTGGATTAAATAGCAGAGGAGACTGAAATCTTGATCTTGGTAACTAGTCTAAAAGGACAAATTTAACTTCAAAATCTGTTTGAAGAGGGATGCCCTTCTACAGACTTTCTCTAGACACATTGCTGCTATGGTTGCTGTAATATGGTGGTGCTCTTACAACCCCAAAGGGTTACAGTACTTATGATCATATACATACAAGTTATTTAAACTGTTTAACACTTGAAAAAGAATTAATATTAAATTATTTGTGTAAGTTGTACTGATTTTCTTTTTGTTTCTCTATTAGTTGGACAGTGCCACTTCACTTATCACAGCTGCAAAAAATCTAATGAATGCTGTTGTCCTGACTGTAAAAGCCTGCTATGTGGCATCAACCAAGGTCAGTTTAATTTTGTTGTTTTATTAGCTACAGTAAAATTATTGTTGCTTTTGTCTCTTTTTATAAATACTTTTCACTATTTATCCTGGTAGCATTCTTTTCATAAATCTCAGAAACCAAAAGTAGTTAGCCTCTTATTTACTATAAAGGTCAAAAGTAAGAAGGAATCCTTAGTCATTAGCTGCTTTTTCTATATTTTCTTTTTTTTTTTTTTTTTTTTTTTCTCTAAAATGAATTTTCTTCATTTCTTAATGTTTCTTAAATTGTTTCTTTTTACAGTACAAAACGAATTCAGCTAATGTAAGTAATTAGTTTTGTTTCTTTATTTTGGCTCTTGTACTTATAAAGGCTGATTTTAATTTTTTTTTTTTTTTTTTTTTAGGAAAATATTTAATAGTAGATTTTACTTTACACTGTTCCATAAAAAAACAACTTAAAAAGAATGTGGAATGTTTTTATTGTGATTATTTTTTTGAAGCTTTCTAAAAATCAGAAAAGTAAAATAATTAAATTTTCCTGTATTACTTTGTTGATAGGCCCCTGTGGTTCTGTGGAAGATGAAAGCTCCAGAGAAAAAGCCTCTTGTCCGCAGGGAAGACCCCAGTGAATTAACAGCGAAAGTTCGTAAGGGTGCTCAAAAGAAGCGTATCCAACCAGTAAGGGCACTGAATGAGTTCCAAGAATTAAGCATTTAAAATGATTTCATGAAAAAAAATTATAATTATATAAAAGGAAAAAAAAATGTATATTTGACCACAATCATTTAAAATGAGTAAAATAAGGGTTGAGTGTGCATTTAATCAGTAGGGCAGAGTTGAATAGAATTAGACTAAGTCAGTCTAATCCTTGTATTGATTATTAAAGAATATCATGCCTATTAATTTTTTTAATTAGAACTTTGGCTATCTTTATATATCTGATTTTCCAGATTGGTTGTGATTGATAGTTGGTTCTTTTAGTTGCTTGGTCAGGGGGAGAGGATTTATAGAGAGTGGAAACTAGGATCAAATAGGGGGTGAATTTGGCTGTTAAAGATTCTCATTCCTTTCTCTCTCTTCTCTTGTCCCTGCAAAGATTAAAAAAAAGAATAAAGTTAGTAATACTGATTAGAAATTAGAAATCTAATTAAAAAAAAAAAAAATGAGGTCTCTTATTACAACTAACTTATCACAAATAAACCTTAAATTTCTTTTAAGTTTTTTTTTTTTTTTTTTTACTAAATCAAAATTTACAGGAAAAATGCTTGCATTAATTATTTATGTTCATTTCTAGTATGTCTATAACAAAGAGAATTCTTACTAATTACTTTAAAAATTGTTAAGTAATGCACATGATTTCCAAAAACACATATCCTTATATACTGTGACTGTAGAATATTACATTCCCACACAAATATAGTCCCTCATACATATTTAAATACTTACACACATACACTGGTTTTTATACTGAATCTTATCTTTACAATTTGTGGTTTCCGATTTAGCTTGTGACAAAGTAAACTTTGTCAACTGGAATCAAGTTATATAAAGAAACTTTATTATCCGAGAAGAAACTTACCAACTTATTACATCTTTATTTTGTATATTTAGCATGTCATAAACTTATAAAAAATATTCCACTGAATCATCAAGGATTAATTTTCTCTTTTTAAAGAGAAAATGAGAGCTGTTTTTTCAACATTAAATGGAAAAAATTCAATTAGACATTAAAAACAATTCTATATTTTTCAATTTAACATTGGTTATCAAGTCTTGTATTCAAGATTCAATGACTTATTTGCTTTTCGCTAATGATAATTAAAAAAAAAAATGTTTTGTGAAACTGAATACTAATTTTGAGAAAGATAGGACAATCCACTCTTAATGTGAGTTTGTCCTGAATTTAGATTTTCTCCAAAATGATGTGAATATTTATTTGTTCAAAACCTTGAACTGTGATTCACCTCATGTTGAATAGCAGTTATTTTGTAGTGATATAAAATACTCTGTGGTCCTTGACATCTCAAGAAGTGAGGTGTGATGAACTAATTATTTCCCAGTCTTCTTGTACTTAGTCAACACCTAAGTCTTAATGGTTTCTTTGACTAACTTGATAATTAATTTACTGTAGTGGGTTTCCTTATCAACTGCAGAAAAAATCGCCAAATTTGAATAAATGAATCATATAATAAATTGTCAAACGAATACTCTGAATCTTATTAAGATTTATTCACAGTTGATAATTATATAAATGTTGCCCAGTGTCTGTGGGATAAAGAATTGACAATTTTTTTTTTTTTTTTTTTTTTTTTTTTTTTTTTTTAATACTCATTGGTTATTCAGAGGCAAAAATCAAGAAACTCTTTTGTTAACTCCTTGCTTTTCTGTTATTACTGTATACAACTTCAACAACTATGAAGATTTTGTGATGTTTATTCTGCTTCTTTGGAAATGATATAAAACATTTCTAGAGACAATTATGTCTGGTATTATATAATTCCTGTTGATGTGCTGAAAATTCCTTTTAAATGTTTAAAAGTATGTTGGCGATATTTTAGTAGTTGACTTTGGTTTGTTATGAAATATCATGTTCTTGATATTATTCTTTTCAAAGAATAAGGAATTGGCTTTCTTATGTTTCCTGATAGATATTTCCATGGTTTGTTTTACTTAAAAAAACAAAAAAAAGCCTGTTCCAAGTCATTGTTGTGCAAGATATGACGTCTGGCTTATATGCTAAAGATTTGCATCAAAATGAAACATTTTGGACGTTTAAAATCTTCAACCCTAAATTTATAAAGCTATTTGGCACTAGTAAGTGGAGAAGTCAAAATGCCAAAGAATATTCATTCTTTCTTTGGAAATAGAGGTACTTAATAGATAATTTGATTAACAAAACAATGTTTGGTTGATTTTGTTAACATTTTCATATTAATTCACATCATTATCATCAGGTCATTCAATTCTTTAAAGTCGAGACTTCAATAACATTTCTGTCTACATAGTTGATAAAAATATGGTTGCATTCAAATTTGAACATTTTTTGTTTAACAGTTCTTTGAATTTAAAAATGAATCAAATTTTTAATAAAATTACAAATTATTGAATCTTTTTCATTGTCAATTTCTTTTTCAGTCAAGTTTTTGTCAGGCAATCTGCATTGCTTCTTTTTTATTGTTTACTATACACAAGTAAAATTATGCCATTCCAGAACAGTAAAATTACTCTTGGTTGACTTAACCAAACTACAAACTGATTATTAGCCTCAATATAACCATATGAGTTAGTTGTATACATTTGAAATTTTCACTTTTTGTACAAAAATGTCAGTATTTGCTGATATCTTGAAAAACGGTTTGAGGTTCCATAACTGATGTTGGCTAGCTGAGGCTCATTATCAGTAAAATGCCAACTCAATATAACAGAAGGGTGTTTCCCTTAGTTTTGTACTTGTGGAATTTGTGATGCCCAAGTGGTATAACCAACTACTTTGCATCTGGACTTTGAAAGCAGTATTGTGCCAGAGCTTTTGCTTAAATGGAATTATTACAAAGTGAATGAGAGCATAATCTGCATTATTTTCTGACAATATTTCTCAGTCATGACTGAAACAGTCTTCAAAAATATTTTTAAACTCTGAAGAATATGTAATAATACTCAGAATTGGTTGTATAAACAAATTCACTGAATCAGTTCATGCTTGTTCTCATCCAAGTAATTTTTTTCCAGAACAATCACATTTTTTATTTATTTTTTTTTCTAATAAAGGTATTAGTTACAGTGGAATATTTATTTTAGATGAATGTTTACCTAAAAGGGTTTTTGTATATTCTGAATCTCCGGATAATTCATGCTAAAATATTTTTGTTTGCGTCTTATTAGGTCGAGGGATTCAATCTGGCATTGTTAGGCTTTGCTATTTTTTTTTTTTTTTTTGTAAGAAACATGTCTCTTTAAATCTCAACCAGATTATGTTCTCAATATATGAATTTTTGCAATAACAAATGACTAGAAATTTGAGAGATGTAACGATTTTTTTTCTAGTAAAGGTATTTTTCTTTCTTATCCTTGATTGGTGGTTCAGCTTTAATTCTGAAATTGATCCCCAACCTTGAACAAATTGTACCTGCCACAGTTCCAATTTGTTCATTTGTATATTTAACAACTGTTGTCTCTATGTAACCAATATAGTATTGATGTTGATTAAGTTACCAAGTTGAGTCTTGTCTAGATGAAGCTAGTTTGTCTCTTGTTTACCATCATGTAAGAAACCAAAAGTAATGCACAATGAAATCTAAATACAGTATTTTTAATTTTATTCGGTTTGGTATGTCCTTGGAGCTTAGAAAAAGAAATCAAACATTATCAAGCTACAAGTTACCTCCAAATTGATGAGGGAAGAAAATAATAATTTTGAACTACTTAACCAGATCTGAGTTGGTACCCGATACTCAAACTTAATGCCATTCTCAATGAATAATTATTAATCTAGACTTTCTATTTATAACTGTATTATAACCATGAATAATCATGATTGACCTTTTGCAATATCATATTTATGTAGATTTAAGTTTTCCATGAGTCTTAAAATAATTTATCATTCAAGTTAGATTGACTGTCGATTTGCAATTCTCTTTCAGTTGCAGTTATATCTGAGTTGTAACAAGCCTTTAAATGCTCACTTATCTAGTTTGTTTTCAGATCTTATGCCAGATCTTCCTTAGAAGATCCACCAAATTCTTATTAAATTATTGAAAAAAAAAATACTGTCATGACATTAGAAATGTGGTTCTTCACTGTCTGTAATGGATGAATATTGGATGTAAAGATTTAAAGGTTATAGAGGCTGATTAAATAAGTTCTCTAAAATTGAAAATGAAATAATTGTTTGAATGTCAAATTAGATATGCTTTCTGGTCTATATAGATCACAATATAAGTAAAAAGAGAAAAGGTCAATTTGCAGTGCAGTTATATGCTGAAGTTTCTTAAACATTAAATTGTTTAATATAGAAATAGTGAAATGTAGTTGAAATAATATAGACTTCAGACTTTTATCCTCTGAGCTACAAAATTAAAACGATTATCACAAAATCATTTCAAACTTAAGAAAAAATCAATAGATTAACCTTTTTTACTTTTAAAACCTTCAATATCCAAATGGTACATGAAGATGACTTTCTAACAAAATGCTAACAATTTGGTTATGATCATCCTATCGGATGAAAAAGATTAGTAAATACATTGTTCTAATGACTTTTATTGAAGCAGTTTTTCGTTGTCTAATATTGTCTTGGGTTAAGGCAAGATAGGTTTTCATCATCTGAGCATTTTCAACTGGAAAGCACACTGCAAATCAGTGTGATTTCTCATTTTTAGAATGGCTGCTCATTTCTGAGCATGCTCATCTGCTAAGGCACATTGGTGTTTCTTCAACACCAACAGAGCCAGCCTGTTGGTTTATACTGCAACTGTGTTTTTAGCCCTAAAATTTTTTCTTTGCAAAACTGGTATGGTCACTTGGCATTGTTTATTTATTGTAGCATCTATTGCTAGAAAATGATTTCTACAAATTTTAAAGCCAGTGTATACCTGCAAAGAGATTTTTTGTTTCTGTTGAGAATCCCATTTAAGAATAATTTTACTTTTTTCTTCTGATTGTGTTATCACATTGCAGAT